TTTACACTTGAAAGGAAGAACCCCTTGTTGCCTAGTCCAAACGAATCGCGGTGAAAACCTTGGGTCTGCTTCAACCGCTTGCTTGTTGAAGGCCGGGGGTTACAAACGATAAAGTTAATGAATGCAGCCGCAGCATAACGTGGGGATCAACGCCCTCCCCACTGAAAAAAGGGGCTGTGATAGAAAGCGCTTGCTGCTTTTCTTTGAGTTCTTGACATTATTTTCAACTGTCAAGGGCTCTCCAGACCCACGGAACTGTCCTGGATCCCGTCCGCTGTGGACTACCAGACCATAATCTACATTCCATACCGTTCCAGGTTGGGAAAGCGGCGAGGACCTTGATTCTTGCCCAATCATTAGCCGGGTTGTCGCCGGTTTTCGTAGGTCATTCACTCATCATCACAGGTCAAAATACACTCTAGAAATGGTCCACTTCTGTTGTGCAAAGACAGGGAGAGGAAGACCTCGAAAGACTCTCTCTCTCCAGGTCTGACTCAATTCACAGGTCATTCGCCTACCAAGCTTCTGCAACTAAGCGATCTCCTGCATATGGGCTGAATGGCCATCTCGAGACATTCAATCTTGATGTAATTCCATTCAGTTCTGATTTCATTTGACTATTGTTCGTAATTTCCGCACTAAGTTGTGTGGCTGCGACCAGAGAACTTTCGAAAAACTTTCCAAAGTACTAAACACAAAACAAAGTCAATCGAGCTGCTAGATAAGTAGAAAATGCTAACAGTTATGTATAATTCAGACATGGTTTCTAAAAAATACACAGGGAGTGAGCAACCTCACAAAAAGTAATACAGAAAACAGCAGTCAAGACTGGATTACCCTAACGGCAGAAAAGGCTTTTATTCCAATTGTACTCTCCAAATCAGGACATTAAGGATCATAACATTAAGGATCTTATGCAAATGTTCTTCGACATGCTGCAAGCTCTTGCCTATTCCACCAAAGATTTTTTACGTCCATCGCTCTCTGAATTTTCTCTATCAATTCTGGATTCACTCGACTGTAAGTGCTTTGTCATTCAGTAGAAGTTCGCTTTTTTCACCTATTGAGTTTCACTATTCTGAGAGAACACAAAGATGTACTAGAAAGAGAATTCCTCCTAACTCAGGGAGAGGGCAGGGACAGCCAGCCCTCCCATCCGTTCAAAGTCTATTATAGCAGCATTATCTCCTTATGATGGATGAGACAAAAGCTCGGTTTGCCTATTCAAACTGGTGGCATTCTTAATAAAATTTGAATCTCCATTACTATACCTAGCCACAACGAGCCAGAATCTGAAGAAGATTACTCCCAAGGTGGGAGTGGCAAAGTGGTATTGGGGAGAGTGCACCAATCAGAGCACTCCTGCTGCTGGAGAAAATTTATGGAAAGTAAAATGGTCGCACGAACTTCCTTCTCTACTTCTTCCGCATCCTATCTAGCACCGGAGTAACCGGTAGTGGGTGAGAGGTGGTCATCGAGCAAATGCTACTTCGAACTATCGATAAAAGTACCCGTATAGAAGGTTGGTGACGGGGATGAATACTCGAGTCAACTCCCAATAGAAAATATTCCTCGGGCCAAAAACGACCCCCTCTCTTTACACTGAACATTATCCCTCCTCTGCTGGGTACTCCCAACTTCCTTCGTGTCCTGAAAGCAGTTCAGACATTGACGAGTTTAGTGTGTTATCACTGCCTCTCTGCGAGACCCTGCACATCCTTTTACGACATTGGCCACACGCCGAATAGGGAAATAGCGTACTTTTCCTTGGTGCGATCCTTGCAAACTAGTCTCTCGCATTATGGACCTAATGCTATGGGCAGCTTTTGTGGAATCAAACTGGTGAGAAAGTTCGCAAACGTTCTACATTCCGAAACCACTGTGCAGGACAGCGCAGGCTACTCCGAGAATCAGCCTGATGAGAACAAAAACCTACTACTATGCCACTGAGCATGCAGTAGATGTAATCATTTTTGGTTTACCCTCGAAACCTCCGAAAATCCTCGGAGATGAGGGTACAGTTTTTTCGTGCTCTACACGGCACGAAAAAACTGTACCCTCATCTCCGAGGATTTTCGTTGCAACGTGAGAGGCGAATGTGGCCGTAGCTGCAGAAGGTTGGTGACGGGGATGAATACTCGAGTCAACTCCCAATAGAAAATATTCCTCGGGCCAAAAACGACCCCCTCTCTTTACACTGAACATTATCCCTCCTCTGCTGGGTACTCCCAACTTCCTTCGTGTCCTGAAAGCAGTTCAGACATTGACGAGTTTAGTGTGTTATCACTGCCTCTCTGCGAGACCCTGCACATCCTTTTACGACA